GTCGAACTATGAAATGAAAGGAATCAAACATGAAGTAAATTAAAGGCATCTACCGAATACTCTAGAACTAAGAAGGTAATTGGCGCCATCTCTTCTAGTATTCTAGAAATAAAAATGCAATAAGCGCCATCTATTGAATATTCTCGAAATAGAATGGTACTAGGCGCCATCCATCTATCCAGTGTTCTACAAATACCCAGTAGAAGAAATGCATTGTTATTAAAAAAATTAAAAATGTCTTTAGGAAAAGAAAAATCAAGTGTAAAGCGCAGAAAGCGAAAAAACCAGAAGTGGGAAGGACCGTAACATAGAAAGTTTTAACAAATAGGTAGGAGGAAAGTCTGGAAAGGGGTACTGAAACCAGTACTCTAACAGCTTAATAAATTTCAAGAATTTCGAAAAAATTGAGAATGGTGCTTTTATTTAAAACATGGAAGACTTTACCATTATTAATGGGGTGAAAGGAATGTCCAAACTCTAAAATGTGATTGGCAAAAGGTGAATTTGTGTTAGTTATACCACTGTTTGAATATTAAGTGATTAATGTATTGTCTTCTTTAATCCTAAGGGAAATTTTTCTGCCTGTTTGGCCAACATATACTGTGTTGCAGTCATCACATTTTAATTGGTAAATACCCAAACGAGAAAAAATTGGGATAGGATCTTTGTTTCTTAAAAACCAAGAACAAAGGTCAGAGAAAGTCTTAAAGCCAATGTTATAGTGTAGTTTCTTGAAAACTTTGAAAATGGACAGAGAAGGAAAACCAACGAAGGAGATAGCGGGAAAAGCAAGAGATAGTGTGTGATTGGAAATTGGTATAAATTTATGAGTGAGTTTATGTTGACCTAGAATTTTATAAAAGATTTTCATAAGTAGTTGTTTAATGATACCAAGTTCTCTCTCAAAGGCTTCATTATTTAAGGGAAAGTAGAATAACCTAAAGAATAAGGAATTCAATTCTGCGAATTTATGGGATGAGGGGTGAAAAGAAGACCAAAATATGATGGTATCAGTAGTGGTAGATTTTCTGCAAACACTATAAGAAAATTAATAACTGGACACGTTTTTTGTAATGCGTATGTCTAAAAATGGAATGGAAATATCATTTTCGATTTCGTATATGAATTTTATTGAAGGATGGAAACAGTTGATAAAATTTAGAAAATAGTTAAGATCGACAAGAGAACTTTGAAAGAGGAATAAGATGGCATCTACTTAACGGCCCCAGAATTTAATTTTGTCTGTAAATTGAGGATATGAGAAGATTTTTGTTTCAATATTGTTTTTATTAAAAATGGAGATAGGGAAGATCCCATTGCTAAACCCGTACATTGTTCATAAAAACTATTGTTAAAGCTAAAGAAATTATATTTCAAAACTAACTCACATAATGTAATCAGGTTAAAGATATGCGTAAGAGGTAAATCTGATTCAAATAGAAGGTCACTAATTAATTTAAGGGAACCAGGAGGAACCGAAGGGAAAATATTAGAAACGTTAAAAGAGACGAGGAATGAACCTGGAGGATGATTACATGTTTAAATTTTTCAACCAGGTCAAAATTATTTTTATTGGCATATTTGTTGTCAAATGGGACAAGTCTTCTTAATGTGATATTAAACCATTTAGAAAAATAGTAAAATGGAGAACTTGCAAAAGAAACTACCGGTCTATCGGGGAATGAGGTTTATGATTTTGGGGAGGCCATACAGACAGGGGATTGAAGAATTCAGTGGTATGAGTCGGGATTTATGTGTATCAAAAAATTTAAGGTTTGGAAGTGTCCAAGGTAGAACATAGAATAAACATGAAATTGGAGGTGGAATCGCGATTCAATTTATTAAAGGAGCCATTGTTTAGAAAATATTAACTTTAGTAATATAATCAAATTTATTATGATGCAATTGCCTTTGTCGGCTTTTGACAGCACCAGATTCTCAATTTTGATTTTGACTTGTAGATATTTTATTCAACTTTTCAGCTACTACTATTAATGATTTTATAGTTATTTAGATGTTTGAGTGGGTTTAAATATTACTAATTATAGCCACTTTGAAATATTTCTAAATCATTGAATAAATCAGTGGAACATACATACTAGTTTATTGTTAGAGTGATCGATAGATGTTGTATAACTCCGCCAGCAATTCTGGTTTTGATGGTCTGATTAAAAGAATTAGAAATTTGTTTTCAAAGAGATTTGTATCATGCATAACTAAATATGGAAGACAAAAAAAATATTTCTTCTCATGTTTCACACACGTAATCTATACATTGAACTCGTCCCACATGATTAAATAACAAAAATAATAATGCGGAAAATACATTCGAAAATTAATAAGGATTATTCGAAGTTGAAATTCGGTCTCGAATGACAGAGTCTAAGCATGCGCAATAAGAACGTCGTGTGTGTGTGTATGTTTTTTTTTATATATTAAGACAAGAGTTCTGATCGCCTGATAAATACATATACAGGGTCGCTAAAAAGTATGGAAACAGTTAGGTATCGCGTGAACGGTTTGTTGATTTTTTTTGAAATTTGACATTGGCTTTATAATGTAAAGCATGCATTATTTTATTTTTTACCAAAATGACAAAATAAATTGTCAAATGTACCTAATATCCCGAGTGCAAGGTATTTTTCCGAAAATTTGCAGCGAAATGTTAAGTTGACAAGTGCTTTTTGAGACAAATATTGTCAAAGTCACTAAACATTCCCATCGTTCATCAGTCGTTTCAAAATATTCTAGAATAACAATACTCCCCAAATAGTGAATACGTTGTTATGAAAGTTTTTTGAAAAATTTAAACAAAAAATTACATTTTTGATCAAATTAACATTTGAAAAACAAGAATTTTACAATAAATGTTCGAAATGTTCTCTATTTACTTCTTGGGGATATGCAATACAATCTTAAAAAATATGAAGATTTTATGAAAGGTCGGGCTGAATTTTATGAAAAGATTTTCTGAAAAGCAAGAAAAAATATTTAATTAATGCAAACTTATTAAAGTCAATAAAATGATAACAAATAAATGTAAAATTTGAAGAATAAAAAACTCAAAAATTGTAACATTAAACAAACGTCATAACGTGTTATAAAACTTTCGAACTCAAGAACGTAGGAAGAATACAAAATTATTTCTATAAAATATAGGTATATAAAACAAAATAAGTCTTTAATAAAAAAAAAATCACAAACACAACTGATATTTATTGGGGATCTTTTGCCTTCTTCGTAAAATATTCGAGTAGATGAGCCTTTCGTTTGTTAACAGTTTTTTAAGCCTTCCAGCTTTTATATGTAACTATCAACTGGGCACTTTGTACTAGAGCCTGAGCAACATTTACTTTCACAATATTGTTATTTTTTAGAGCTTTTGATAATTTTTCATTGGCACCCTTATGTTGATTTATTTTATTTAGATTGAATGTCTTGGAGCTCCTTCTCCAACAATGCAATTTTTTTTGTCGCCAGCTTTAATTTTCAATTCTTCTTCTAGTTGTTTTTCTTTCTGATAGTTTTCTTCCACTTGTTTCTTTCTTCTGTTAAGTTAACTTCATATGCAGCATTTGCATGAAAGCAAAGTTTATACAAATCTGGAGTAAAGTCTACTTTATGGATTTCATTATTGTAGATGTTTTTAATAGCATCAGATACGGTCAGTATCGCATTGAAAGTTTTTTCATTTAGTTAGCTTCGAATTTTAGTGGGAATTCAAATTGAGTGGGAAAATCCACGCTCAACGTTTGCATTTCCATGAGCAAGACAAAGAAGTGTTTGATTTTCTTGCTGCAGTTTACAATATTTAGTTTTGCTATTAAACGTTAAATTAAATATTATATTCCAAAAATGATCAATTTTCGTATTGATATTACTTTCATAATTCATTATTTCAGTTTACAAGAGTTTCCATTCATATACCAAATGATCAAAATTTGAAAATTTCGGAATATTTCTAGATAAAAGTTCAATATAACTTGCGTCGTAATGTCTGATTGTCTTTGGATCTTTAATAAATAGAATTGTCTTCAAAGAGACCCACTTTTTGGATAATATATGTATTTGCGTAATTATATACAGGCTGTCTCTTTTATATGATGCAACCCCTGTAACTTTTTTATTCTTAAAGATAAACCTGTAGTTCTTGGAGCAAATTTGTATCATTTTAAAAGATCAATGTGATGACACCCTCACATTTTTATTATCACTTCCGGTAGAAGCGTCAACTTTTTTTATGGAACACTGGGTATATTTTTTCATAAATGGAAAGATTGATTTTTGTAAAAAATCAAAAACAATCAATATTCTAAAATCATACTCGAAAAGTTAATCAATAAAATTCATATTTAGTAGCTTAAAAAATGGACACTCATGTCATTTATTCACATAAGTGATCTTTTAAAATGATACAAATTTGCCCAAAGAACTATATATTTATCTTTAAAAACAAAAAAGTTACAGGGGTTGTATCAACACGTGGTATAATGTTTTAATTAATTAATGATTAAATTATGCAGTTTCGCAATTTTATGCGTATTTTATGAAAGTTTAGGCAAAATTGTATTTAATTTGTGATTCACATTTATTTTTTCGTTTCTCAATATAATAGGTATAATCAAATGTGTCAACATTATCTTTAGAAAAAAATTGCTGTGTTTTTAAAAACTGAATAAAATTTGTCATCAAGGAGTACCTTAAACTGCACCTCCTTATTTTAGACACACTATCATGAAAATATGATAAAATTCTTCGTAACTGAAATTTATTTAACCAACAACTAAATACATCAGACATAGACTAAGAATTTGGTATTTATTTATTGTGAAAACGTAACTCGGCACAAGTTTCAAAAAAATCATCCTCACGTTCGATAACACCCAGAATAACTCAACACCGTAGACTGAAAATCAGCCCTCGAACAGCAACGACACTTCAGTGTTCAATGACACAAATCACGGTGAGTGCAAAGTAAATATTTTCCATTTTCTACTTACAACGTCCTGAGCTGAAGCAAAGCTCTCTCCGCCCGACAAATCCGCATCAATTCCATTTTCCGAAAGGTGTGTGCCACTCTCGGGTCTGAACAGAACCGACCTCTGATCTAAGAACAACATTTCCGATTTGTCCTGCAATTCAATCGCGGCGTCTAGGAGATGTTGCAAGTCCCTGCAGAAATTAGCCTCTTCCGGTCCCAGCACTGCCAAAGCTCCTCCGCCATCTCTCGACCGGTACAAGGCTAGCGCGTCTTCCCAGTAATTTATGCACGTCTCCAAGGCTTCCATTGCTGGAAAAATATGAACAAACGTATTATTAGAAATGCGTCATTTTAAAATAGTATAGGTATAGGTGATTTTTAACGAGGTGGATCCAAACGATTGTTTTAAATTTAACTTGGATCCATAACCTGATGCAATGATATAAATAAATAATATGTAGTAATTTTTAGGGGACGATGATACTAGGTAGACATTTTTCTGGTATTTATCCACATTTCCAACGCTTCCATAGCTGGAAAAATAATCATAGAATTTATCAGAAACGTGTGACTTTTCTTATCGGAAATGAATGCGTGGTTGCGAAAATGAAAATAACAATAAGATAACCGAAGCGTTACTCATATCGAAATGTCAGCGCGCGCGGAAAAAAGACCCAATTACCATTTTATGTGGAGTACAACAATACAATGCAGGAGCCGCCTAGTGGTTAAAATATGCGGTTTCCTTACGTGGTCATTAAATGGCAGTAGGCAGGGATTTTTCTGGTGCATAAAACATGGTCCCACAATTTACTGCTACTATATTTAGCACCTAATTGTCAACTTGATTGCGGCGATTATTCGCCCTTGTTTAGAGGATATGTGGTAGCAGTAAATTTTAACCTGTAATGGGCTTCGTTATATAATTATGGATCATTTTCCTAACAATTAGGTTTGATTATAATAATTTCCGATGGGACAGGATAAGCAATGAGCGTTGGTTTAATTGCGTGATGTCTTCATGGGTTAAGAATTGGAACAATTCCTCGTTACTGGAGATATTTGTCTAGCGATGCGAGATACGAGGACGAATTAAAATTTTAGGTCAGATAGTTGACAATGTCGTGTTAAGTATGAGAAATAGTACTGAGGCACTGGACGTGTTGAAGAAAACAGATGGAATGTTATTATAGGTTGTAGAAGATACCCATCTTGCGGTGGGCAACTTTAATAATAATTCATCCTTGGCAATTATTAGATAAACAGTCAGATATAATGGCGCTAAAAGCACACGGTAATCAGTAATAAAAAGTGTGAAATATTTAAAACTATTTAACATTTTTAGAAGAACTGGTTATTTATTACATGCATACATAACCACTAACCAGATCCAGATGGAAATTTAATATTATTCTAAAGAATTTTAGTTTCTAGTTGTTAAAAAATAAGCGTGTGGTTTCATCGCCTGAAAAAAAAACGTAAATATGACCCATTTGGGGCTAAATTAATTAGTATCATGGACCCATAACCGTCACACATTTTACATTTTATATTTTACTGTGTTTTTATATACCTAATATTCAGCTTGCTACCAAATTTAATTTTTAGCAAATATCTATAGTAAAATAATTAATATCCAGGGGTATTTATAGTAATCTCCCGCACTCTATAGCTTTGGAACCTCTGGAAATACAATTTTTAAATTTAAAACGTATGAATCAAATGGCGTCATAGTGATGCGCTGTGACCTTGAACTAGTGGCCCCTCGTTACAAGTGATACCAAAGTTAACAAAAAAACATGCGAAAAAGAAACAAACATTTATGAAATAATGAAGAATAAAAAATTATCATTGTTTTTTTAATTTTCTTTTTTGAAATTCACGATTTTTTTCTTTGGTATAATATGTAGAATGAAATAATACTTCAAAAGACTCGGTCTCTCATGCTACTAAATTTGCATGATCATCGTGACGTTGTCATATCAAAATTTTGTACATACTATTCAAATTTTTTAAAATAATAAACTCCTGTATTTGTGGTTTATGAATCCACCTTCTTTTTTTATTATTTTTTAATTTATATTGTAGTGTGTAAACATACCATTTTCTTCAAAATTAGAGTTTTCTTCAAGAGTAATTTTAGATATTCTGTAATAATAATAATAATAATATCAGGTTGTATATATGTACAGGATACAATATTCTATGTTGATAAGAAAAACAAGTTAACACATAATTTACAAAAACCGATAGAGAAAACACAAAACAACAAATATCGATGTCATACTTTGACCTCATCCACAATTGTCGCTTATTTGTGTTGGAATTTTCCGAACATTTTGATTATGCGATCACTCAGTTACAGCATCCTAAACTTTCATGCTTTTTCTTACCCAATGCACCTAAAATATATTTTCTCACTTTTTAAGCTAAGAAGGTATTGTAATAGGGTACATCGGACGACTGCTTCCTTTTATGCTTCCTCGACGTTTCATGGGCGCTATAGAGTACGAAAAATTAGATTTCCCGTTTACGTCTGTCGGTCTGTCTGTTTCTGTCTACCGCCTGTCATCTGTGTCAATTTTTATTAGACAGATAATCTTTGAAACAGTCCAAGTTTTGAAATCTAGCAAAACGTTTTAAAGTCATCATAAGCTTTGTAAATAATTATTTAATCAAAATTTTGCCTAATAAATCGTATCTGACATATGCAAAATATTATGACTTGATACGTGTAGTTCAACAATGCATTCACATTACAGAGTACTGTTATTATTAGTGTTACACTGCACCTATTCAAATTGATGTATTGTTTACTTTTTTAATTAATTTAATTGTTTATTTATTAATTTACTTGTTAAAATGTTAATCATAAAATTTTGTTATGGGAAAACTCATTAGAAACATACGCATAGCATTTTTCTTTACTTGTATTTTAACATTCCACACGTTCTTTTACTTTTAACTTGTACGGGTTATCAAAAAATCGCAAAATTTAATTTTATAATTTTTCGAAGAATCTGTAGTTCTTCGCTTGTACTTCAGAGACGAGGGAAGTTCGGTCTAAAATATTTACGTGGAGTGTTTCCTGTATAACCATCTTTGATCCTCACTCATCAGATGGTTAATTTCATAATTCTATAATCTAAGGGAATATTGTGACTTATAATGTTTCATTTTAAAAAATTGACATCGAATATTTCCTCATTCAACTGGTGGTTGTCCTTAAAAAATTATGAAAATTGCCAACTCTTCCAACAAAACATATGATAACTGACAATATACTACAACAGTATGATTCAAGTTTCAACAACTAAAAATAACGACAACAATAAAAAAAATTACTAAATCCTCTGTTTTTGCTTTCTTTCAAGAAAAATCTTTATATCCAGAATATACTTTACAGAAATAAGGGAGCTGGAGATTGTTTTTTTTTCACCATTTTATTGTCTAATTACGCAAATTAAACAAAAAAAATGACCGAAAGTCATTTCGACAGAACTTTCCTCGTCCCACAAATCCCGCTTCTTTGAAAAATTATAAAAAAAATTTGCGAAATTTGTTCCTTACTCCAAAGTTAAAACCAGTGCAAAAACAACGCTTTTTTAATTTGAATTTTTCAATTCTTCAATTTTTGAGAATTTATCGAGCTTTCATGCATACATTTTTTAGTTTTTCAATTTCCCATCTTTTGAGTTTTTCAGTTTTTAGATTTTGGGGTTTCTTGATTTAAAATTCCTCGAGTTTTTTTATTTTTCAATTTATCGATTCTTTAATTTGTCAATTATTCAAACTTTCTTTCAGCTGTCTATTTTCTTCATTTTTACTACAAATTTAAGAGTTTTCAATGCGTCAGATTTATAATTTTTAGTTTTTTAATGTCAATTATTTCATTTTTCTTTTCATCAATTTTTCGATTTGCAATTTTTCAAATTTTTTTTGTTTCTTCAATTTTACGATTTGTGTCCCTCCCAGTTTTCCTTGTTAAATTTTTCAGTTTTTCAAACTTCTGGATATTTCAATTTTTAGATTTTGCAATTTTGCGACATGCAGTTTCATTTTCGAATTTTTCGATTTTTACTTCCCGAGTGTAAGCAAAGGAAGTATTGTAATCGAGTCCGTCGGCCGACTCTCTACTTTTACGTTTTCTCAACCTTTCATGACCCCAAGAGGACGAAAAAATAGGTCTCTCGTTTCCGTCTGTCTGTCCGCCTGTGCTGAGATTATCTGTCTAATAATACAGATAATCTCCGAAAGTACTCAACCGATTGTTGTGAAATTTTGTACTTATATTAGGAATATCATGTAGATGGTAAAACGCTAACCAAAATTTGTCTAATCATCCCCAGTACTAATGCGATGACGTCACTTCAAAATAGTACATAGTACAGGGGTTTAAATTGTATAAAATAGCATAGTCCTATACATGTAGTTTATGACTCCGAGTTGAGTTTTTACCCGAATCGTCCAGATTTTTGGAAAAAAAATAAAAATTATGAAACAACATTTTGCAATTTAATTTTGAATCTGGAAAACCGAATGCTTTGAAATCTTGCAGATGTTTTAAGGTTAGAAAAGTCATGATAAGTTTTTAATGAAAATATATTTACTTATCCCCTCCAAAAAATTGATGACGTCAACTCAAAATTTTGCCGAATATTTCCTATCTAAAATGTATAAAATATGATGAGTCTATACTTGTAATTTATCATCCCATTCATATTTTTTGGATTTGCATATACAGGGTGACCCAAAAAAATTAATGAATGCGTAATAGTAATTTACGCAACTAGTTCGGGATAGCCTGCTTCCCGCATGAACGCTTGTTTGAGGCACGACCGAAGGGAGTGCCGCATTTGCGTGAATGCGGGAAGCAGGCTCACGAACGTGTTGTGTACAATATTTTTTGCGACGAATAAACCTTTAAACTGGAGAGATTAACTGTGAGTTATTTATAAACAACGCCATTGACAGCGCCGTCAACACGTCACAATGTTGACACTACCCGAGTATTTTAAGGTTACCATGGCAACGGGAAGTTAAATGCACGTGTGCGGGAAGTTCGACCTCCCGCACTCTGGTGAATGCGCGAAAGCTATCAAAAAAGGTCATGAGTGCAAAAATTTATTTTATTGATTTACTCAGGAAAACCGATTGCTTTGAAATCTACTGCGAAAAAAACATGATAGGTATGCAGTCGCCACGTTTCCGACAGCGAGGGAAGTACTGTCTAAACTCCTTAGACCAATTTTTTAATTTTTAATTTCTTCAGTTTTTTGATTTTTCAACTTTTAGAGTTTTTAACTTTT